CCGCCCCGGGGCAGGGACCGACGCTTTGCCCTTGGGGACGCGAGAAGCAGGATTTGTGCACGCACCCCGGGGCGATCTGGGGAGCGACAGATGCTGGGGAGGAGCGGGGGGGATTTTGCTCGCCGTGTCACGCTGTGATCTGGCCCTGGCCTGGCCGGTGCTGGGATGCACCCCGGGGGGACACCCGCTCCGTCCCCATCCATCCCCTGCTCTGCCTGGGGAGGGTCTGGCCGGGCCATGGGGTACGCAGGGGCCAGGGGGTCTCCCTGAAGCATGGCCGGGAGCAGCCTGGCTCAAGCCAGGCCTGATCCTGCTCCGGCAGCTTCGGCGGGGACTGCAGGGGCTGAGCGTGCCGTGGGACGGGGTCCGGGCGCTGAGCAGGGCCAGCCCCCATGGGGGTCGTGCTGCAGGATGGGGTCCCCCCTGAGCTGGGACCACCGTGCTCGGGCGTCCCAGTCCCCTCCATGGAGCAGCAGCACCTTCCCCGCCCCGGTGAGGGGCTCAGCCCCGCAGGGACCCCCTGGCCCGCTGAGCCCGGATCAAGGCAGCTCAAAAGGCAGCCTGGGGGCTCAGCCCAGCCCACCCCAACAAGCAGCTAATGGGATCAGCAGGGCTGGGAATTAGCCCCTGCTGCAGCAGCTGCTCCCGGGCACCGTGGCCCCGGTGCCTGCCTCGCTGTGCCGGGGTCAGAGCCTTGCCGTACCGGCGCGGCACGGCCAGACTCACCTTGGGCGCCCACCAAGTGATGCCCATGTGCAGGGCGTAGTCGCAGCAGACCTTGGGATCGGCCAGGCTGCGGCACTTCTCGTAGGCGTCCAGCAGCGAGGTCTCCTTGTCGGGCAGGACGTGGCCGATGATCATCGTCGTACCCCCCACCAGGGCTGCCTGTGGGTGTCGGGGACAGCGGTGGTGAGGGGACAGGATTTGCCCCGCTGGGGAATGGCCCCTGGGGCCTGCGGTGCTGCCCATGCCGCAGGGCGGCACTAATCCTGCCTGGCTACGAGCGGGGCTAATCCCCTGGGCAGCCAGGCTAGGGCAGCCACATTCGGGGCACGGAGTTGCCCGCAGGCAGGTGGGGGCCCTGGGTTGGGCCCCATTGCAGGCAGGGATCCCCCCCCCCATCACCCTGGGGTGCAACTGCCCCCCGCGGCGCCCTGGCCCTGCCCGCGGCTGCCTGGTTGCAGCAGCACAT